CAAAGCGCAGCCGGACGGCAAAGAGGCAAAACCTGACGCATCCATCAGGATCACAGAGCCCTGCGACGCTCCCAGCAGCCGGGACAGGGCTGGGGCTGCTTCTCATGGGGCAACGCGGCCCTGACACCAGATCAGCGCATCCACTTCACAGCCCTCGACGGCAGGGCGACGGATGAAGCCAAACAATCCCAGCTCGCCGACGTAGCCATTCCCCGAAAATGTGGCAACCGGAAGAATTCACATCCCCACTAGCCTGGAGTTTGCTGCCCAAGAATCACAGAATCACACAGAATCACTGAATGGCAGGGGTTGGAAGGGACCTCTGTGGGTCACAGAATCACAGAATAGTAGGGGTTGGAAGGGACCTCTGTGGGTCATCTAGTCCAACCCCCCTGCCGAAGCAGGGTCACCTACAGTAGGCTGCACAGGATCTTGTCCAGGCGGGTCTTGAATATCTCCAGAGAAGGAGACTCCACAACCTCCCTGGGCAGCCTGTTCCAGTGCTCCGTCACCCTCAGAGGGAAGAAGTTCTTCCTCATGTTCAGACGGAACTTCCTGTGCCTCAGTTTGTGCCCATTGCCCCTTGTCCTGTCACTGGGCACCACTGAAAAGAGCTTGGCCCCATCCTCCTGACACCCACCCTGCAGATATTTATAAGCATTTATTAGGTCCCCTCACAGCCTTCTCTTCTTCAGCTGAACAAGCCCAGGTAAGAACAAGCAGCAAAGCTCCCCTCCCCCTTTTTAGAAGATGCTGTTTTTGCCCTGCCACAAAACGCTGTAAGACACCAAACCAAGACCCCAAATCCACATTTTGCAGGCATGCAAGCAGCTTTTAATCAAAGCATCTAACCACACGCATCCAGGCAGCTCAGCACCTCTCCCACAACCTACCCGCCGCGACTCTCAACCCCCCACTATTTTCAGAAGCGAGGGATAATTTTTGAGCATCCTTTGCAGAGAAGTACCAGTTCCCTCCACGAAACCCGGTCCCCTCCCCGAAAGCCTCAGCCTGGTGGGATTTGCAGGGTCCACCCCAAGCCGGGAGCCCCCAGCCCTGCAGCCATCCCCACCCCGGTCCTGCCTGGGTTAAAACAGCTTCGGAGGAAGGAAGCGGCTCCAAAGCTCTGGCGGGGGAGGCCGGGGGAGCTTCTGCAGTCTGAGCCAGGGAAATATTTCCAGGACTTGAAAAACAACTCAAACTAATTAAAGATAAAATGCTGTGCGAAGCGTTTTCTCACAACTTAGGGGTTTTCTTCCCCCACCAGCTGGAGTGTTTATTCAAAGAAAAACTTGTTGATCCGCGGTATGGATTGACACAGGCCCTGTATGTAAACTAAAGACCAAACTTTGGACCAAAGTCTTTAAAAGTAAACAGGCAGCTTCAAAAGAAAACCCTCCCCGAGGGCGGCGCAGCCCCTCTGCTCCCACAGACACGCTCGTCCCCCAGCACACCACACGATTATCATTGCCTCACACTCCCTCCTGTTTATTCCCTTTTTAAAACCAGATCTAAATTCTGCTTTTTCTCCCCCCCAACCCCAAGTATTCAGCCCTTAAGCTGCCTGCATGCCTCAGTTTCCACATCTGGCAGAGACCAGGGGAGGCACAAACACGGTTTGTTTTCCCTTGTTAACGACGGGGAGGCCTTAATTTCTGCAGGGTACTACGGAGGGGACCAGGGAGGGGAAAGTATATTTAGCAGGAAGCCTGGAAATAGCAGCTCATTCGTCAGCCGCCTTCATTTGACAGTGTCACAACCCGGTGTTTGGGAGACCGTGACTCACTGCCGCAGCTCTGCAGCTGGGGGAAAGCCCGGCAAGGGCACGGCATCTCATAACATAACGCTTCATAACTTTATCACCATCTCCCCACGCATAAGCATCAGGAGCTGTCGCAGAATCACAGAATCACAGAATGGTACGGGCTCATCTAGTCCAACCCTCCTGAGCTTGTTCCCCGCTTTGCCCATGAGCTTGTGCCCCGCTTTGCCTGTGAGGTTGTGGCAACCGGTTCTGAGCACAAAGCAGAAATAAGGCTGAGACTCAGTTTCCCCACCTTACAGAGGTTCTGAGAGCAACCCCCATCTAATATAAAACCATAGAATGATAGGTTGGAAGAGACCTTTAAGATCATCAAGTCCAACCATCACCCCAACACCACCATGCCTGCCAAACCATGTCCCAAAATGCCAAACCTACACGTTTTTTGAACACCTCCAGGCATGGTGGACCCCTCCAGGGATGGTGAGAACCCCCCCTCAAACCCAGCGACATCTCCCCCAGTCTCAACCCGCATGGGGGGTGATCGATCCGACACGGCGCACAGGAGCCATCCCTGCCGGGACGCGGGTCATGGGGCAGCCACAGGTTAAACCCAGCCTGGCCTGGGCTTCATTTTTCTTCAGAACAGAGCGGAAAAAGATATGCAAAGCGATTTCTGCAGGAGGATGGAAAGCACCTGTTTTGCGTTTCTATACGCAGTCACCTAAAATGGGTTTTGACCAAAAATAGGGGAGATTTTTCTTCCCAGGATCCGGCTCGCTCGTGGACGGAGCGGCCACGCACACGCAGCAGAACCCCTCCCTGGCACCCCGCAGACGTGCACCGGGCACGTTTCCCCACCCTGAAGGCTTAGGGCTGGCCGGGAAGGCAAAAAGCCCCGCAGCGCCCAGCTCAGGATGGCTCCTTTTTGGGGGGCCCCCCTCCAAGCCCTGGATTTCCCTCCCTGAGTAACGCTACGTTCACCAAAAAACCGCACAACACCCGAATAACGAAGTCCAACACCGCCATCGCGCCGGCGAGCAGCCTCGTGCCGCGCTCGCTGTCCCCGAATCCTCTCCCCGGAGCCGGAACGGTGCCAGCGGCGCAGCCGGCAGCAAAGCCGGGCGTCAAGCGAGATGCAAAGCGGAACTCCACCGCTCCCTGCTGCGGAGGAACCCCCGGGCTGGTGGAGCCCGTGGATCCGTTTGGCTGGGGAAGATGTCGCGCGCCCAAAAGGATGCTCGAGGCGCACCTCGAGCCCCGGTTTGGGAGCGGGAGACCCGCAGCAGCCCTCCAGCATCCCCGCGAG